ACTGAAGTCTGTTCCTCTCTGTGATTCCCCACGTTCGCTTTGTCCCTCTTTTTCTGTATCCTCATAGCGGCTCCCGTTGGAAAAAATCTTTCTTCTTGAATAGCTTTTCAATTCTTCCTTCTCTTCTTCCTCTCGTGATTCAGTATCATCCTCCTCCTCTACCTGTGACATTTAAATGGACAGTTAAGCCATTGCAACTCAGTAACAGTTTGTTCTGTATTTAAGCAGTCATTTATCCAAAAAAACTCCAACCAAGGAATTAAAACCCAGAAAGGCAAATCAGTCTGGAGCTCCCTCAAAATTTTAGATCAGGTGCCATCATATTCCTAAACTGTATGTACTCCATCAATAGTATAATTGAAAGCACATAGTGAAGCTTCAGTGCTTACAGGGGTCTAGCAGTGACACTGATGCAAACTCCACTGGTCTCCCCCCTATTTCGGGAGCCCATAGTGAAAAGCATCCTTCCTGAAACAGTGAGCACTGTGTAGGCAGCAGAACTAAGAATTTAATCACAGTATCTCTGTCCAAGTATTGCAGTGATACAGATGATAACTGGAAGAACTGATGTTTGTAGAGCCGAATAGGAAAAAGATTACAGACAGTTGATAACGGACAGCAGAAAAACATCCAGAAAGGGTAGTCCATGTCAGAATTTCCATTATAAATAACTACAGGGTCTTAACTCACATAATGTGGAATAATCAATCAAATTAATGTCCTTCACTAAAGGCATTTTATGGAAATACACAGGAAACAATTGAATGGATAGCTGGCAGTCAATCTACTACCCCAAACCATTAAAAAGCGCTAAGGTCAAAAGGAGAACTCATTACAAAGTCCACTTAAGATGCAAGCAGTATAGGCATTTGCCACAAGAACTCAACAGTCACAGGAAAACTACCCCCTCCCTTGAATCTTCTAGATCAATAGAGCTGTCCTCTCCCAGAGCCTGGGAGTCAGCTGGAATAGCGATCAGTTCACAAACAGAGATGAGTGCTCCTTCCTCCAGGAAGGACAACAGGCAGGAGGAGAACTGTGAACAACTAGAAAAGTTCTGTGCAAGATACTTTCTGTAGAGTTCTGAAGCTCTGAAGAAGTGGAGTAAGGGAGCCAAGAAAGAAGAGATTCCCACTGTGTCTGCTCCCAGCTGCTGACAGCTCCACTCTCTCTTCTCTACTCCACCTGTCCTTTCAAATACTACAGTGTATAGCTGCCACGAGATTAAATTTTGCTATCCTAACAGCAAGTACATTCTTCATGACCAGGGCAGTGAAAGTCAAGTTTGTCTAGACTGGCGTAAAGCTTAAAGTCATCTCCATTCAGTATAAAATAATTTAAAATGCAAGAAATCTTTCAATAAGTCATTATTTATCCATAAGCTAAAACACCCTTACAGCTCACCACCAAACACTGACTTTAAGAAGGATCCTGGCTTTGATAGTTTAAGCCAAATGTAATCCTGAAATAAATGTGAAGAGCAATTAGTTAAGCTTAAAAAAAGCTCTTGTAAGTGAAGAGCTGCAACATCTTACACAAAGATATGTAAAACCACATTCAGATTTATTTTATTTTAGCACATACTGTGGACGTACATACTGGTACAACATTGGACAACCTGGTAAAAACAACTGCAAAGTCACTCTCAGGCACAAACCACCTTTACTTCATTAACTTGTTCTATAACCAATGAGTTACTTTTGTAGCTCAAGAAAGGACACTGAGCAATGCAACAGGCCTTTTAGATTGATTTTAGAAATCCATCCTGAAGAAGGCTTAACTACTCCATAGAAAATTTTGTAGTTACATTTTGGCTCAGCTAGACAAACTGAGATTTTCACATTCCTTTAGTGTTCAATTACACAACAGAAAAATTTCTATCAGCCCCAAATAAATCCCTGTTGCACCTCAACTACCTTCATCATCATTAAAAGACTGACAAGAGAAGAAAAGTAGGCTTTTACACAATTGTCTGCTGAAAGGCAAAGCATATTCAACCACAATTTCAAGAGCTTAGATTCTCCCATGTTTGATGCCTTAAAAATGACTGCCCAGCACATCATACAATTAGCAAAATCAGGAGTAAAATAATGACTTCCCAAGAAAAATAATCCACCAATCTTCATAAACAAGCTTCTTTCAGCATTGTTTGCGAGATCTGGTTAGGAACAGCAAGAAAAAATGGTATAATCAAAAAACGGATTAAAATCTGTCATAATTATCCAGATATACTCCCAGCTGTCCAATAGCTGACAAGAAGGAAAATATTCTGTGCGTTCTCACTGGTTCTATGCAATTTTTAGATAAATTCTCCTTCCTTTCTATTCATCAAATAAATACACTAAAAGGGTTGTAGCAGACAAATGGTTGTTTGCATGAGCAAGGAGATGAAGTCACAACTATTACTTGGGACTGATTCAGAGCTATAGTTTGCACAGAACAAAGGCCAAATCCACTTACATTGATAAGAATCAATGTATTTATCTTCTGTTCTTCTCCTATAAATTGAATGATTTGCTATAATCCAGAAAAACCAGTGGAATTCAGTGCCCAAAGTAACTGGATTTGATACAATTCACAAGTCAAAGCAAAACCAGTGCTACACAGATAGGTCATGTTGTATTTTCATTTTAATTTTAAGAAACTATCAGAATCACCTTAGGCAACTAAGACAATATATATAATTACTTACTGTAGACCTGTTTACAGGATTCATTCCTTTTAGCTGTCACCATAAACAAAACAGGAATATCATCTTCTCATTTTAACAAGCTTCCAGGAAACTAATATGGATTCAAATGTTTTCTCTTAAACTGGGCTAAATTCTTTTTCGCATTTGTTATGAGCTAACATTATATGTCATACCTCAAGGAAATTTCATTTCTTAAAAGTAAAATTGTTAACTTGAACTTTAAAGAAATAAACCACAAATTCTCAGGGGTGTTAATAGAAGTTGTGCAGAACTCATTCCCCAAATACTGTCCTGAGGTTTACTTTTGAAATTGGTAAGCTTCAAATACAAACCTGCTTATATTTCCAATAAATATTTAATAGAAAATTTTACATGATGCACTGTCATGATATAAAACTGCAAATAACCATATCTGAATATTCAACGTTCAAACAACTTAAAGACGCATCTTCACCATTAAAATTATCAAATACATAAAAGTCTCTGATTAGTGAAGCTTCAGAAGATAATCTGCTTCTACCATCTCACAAGACAGCTACCGTCTAAAATAACCTCAGAAACACATAAACACAAATCTTCATTACTTTCCTCATAGCTGCCTAGGCAGCCAGACTACATGTGCTACCATTGTCATCATACTTTACTGAAAATGAGTTTTAATTAGCACAGAGCAAATATCTGTTGAATGTGTAATGAAATAAAATAACTTCTCCCCCATCCCGTTCTCAAATAACAAGTGATACAAGCTGAAACAAATTCTAGAAGCCAACTCAAAGATAACCTTTAAAACAGTATTACTCAAGTATGGAGAAAAAAACCCCATGCTTTTAAACAGTAGTGCACTAGATCTACACACTATTGTTCAGTGCTATAATGCATCATGATACCACAGGAAGTATATAATATTTGCCTGCTGTGCCTCTGTTTCACAGTCTTACATGCATTGCCATTTGAGATTTCATTCAAATTTTGAAAATGAGGAAAGTATTCAAAAGACGAGTTCGGACAAAACCTGAAAACTTTCAGACTGTTTTGCATATCAGAAGAACAACCAAAAATAAAAAATAAACTAAGTTCATCAAAGTTGTTCAAACAATAGTGAAAGAGCCAAGCTTCTCTGTAGAGGAACTTGCACAATTTGGGGTCTTCCACCAGGGAATATATTTTTGTCCTTTACCAGAGCCTATGAATTCACTTTCCTTCTGAAGGAGCGTAAAATGCATAGCACACATGACTCCAATCTACAAGTCTCTACAACAGCAAATGAGTATTTTAGCACACCTTTACACATTAATTTTGTATACAGAATTGGGACGGGACGCTACTGAGGAAAAAAAAATAGGAAAGTAGGCTTTCTGTTTGACTTTTCTTACAGACAAGAACATGTTGATGAACACAGTTCAGAAATGAAAGTGTCCAAGCAACGTAAACATTGTTTTGAACAGGCAGTTTCCCCCGGTGTCATCCTTCTGCACTTCCCTGGAATCCAAAGGGGTTTGGATCAACCCGAGTCTGAAGTACACAATGGAGAAAGTGCAACAGTGACCTCTTGTATCCTGCTTCAATTACTCATCACCTTTCACTGTAAGTGCAGTCAGTCCTAGCATGTTAGGCATATGTGTGCAAACAACAAGAATTGTTGAGCTCACAACCTTCTAAAAAAAACCTAAAAGTGCATTAAAAGTCGGAGCTTCCATTAAGACTTTCTAAAATTATTTATTGCCTTTAGGAAGTCACAAGAGTTAAAGCTTCTAGTCCTCTTCCCATTCAATTCTATTAACTCTGTAAAAAAACATTTAATCTTTGTCAGTACTTGGAATATTCTACAGTGACTGGGAGGCACATAGAAACAACATATGTTCAGCTTGCCTTTCTTTGGCCCAACTGCCCTTCCCTATTATGTAGGTATTATGCACTATTAGATTTCCATTCTTCTCTTGTTTGTAGTATTTCTCCCAATTAGTTTCCTGAGAAGGTCACTTTACAGTAACATAGCTTGAGCTTTTTTGTTCATCTGTTAGAGCATAGCTGTTTTTCCTCCATCTTCTTCCCAAATTAATACAATAACCTTTTATTCTTAAGAAACTCTGTACAATTGTATTCATCAACAGCTACTTTTCCCCTTTGTTACTCTGAGTTACCTTCTGGACATTACACCTCTCAAAAACATAAACATTTCTTTTCCATGCTTTATTAGGGACACTTACCTATGCTGCCTCGGATCTGTTATATACCCACGCAGCATCCGCACTAAATAGTTGTCCACTGCCGCGCGTGGACACATGCATGTCCATGGACAGTGGTAACCACTGTCTACTCCCTACATGTGCTGCATTCTCAAACAGCAGCAGCACACACCAATTCCTTGAATAAACTTCTGTCTTGATTCCCTTTTCCCTTCCTAGAAATGGCTGTCAGACTGTGGCAAAGCATGATGACGTTCACATTTATCTAAATCCCAATTTCTCTT